TGGGGGTGTGAGGTGAGCCCGGGATGGGGGTGTGAGGTGAACCCGGGATGGGGGTGTGAGGTGAACCTGGGATGGGGATGTGAGGTGAATCCGGGGTTGGGGTGTGAACCCAGGATGGGGGTGTGAGGTAACCCTGGATGGGGGTGTGAGATGAACCTGGGATGGGGATGTGAGGTGAACCTGGGATTGGGGTGTAAACCTGGGATAGGGATGTGAGGTGAACCCTGGATGGGGGTGTGAACCTGGGATAGGGGTGTGAGGTGAACTTTGGATGGGAGTGTGAACCCAGGATGGGGGTGTGAGGTGAACCCGAGATGGGGGTGTGAACCTGGGATGGGGGTGTGAGGTGAACCTGGGCTCTCTGGACTATAGCCCTGGCATACCCCCACCCCAGTGGCCCCACACACCCTGCCAGAATGACAGGAAGATGACGGCTTTGATGGTGAGGAACTTGAGGACAGGCTCAAAGGGCCGCAGGAGCTCCCTGGTGGTGAAGTAGAAGAGAAACAGGGCGTAGAGGGCGAGGCTGACGGAGGCGTTGTAGATGAGGGTCACATAGAGGTAGCCGCTGCGGACACTGGGCCAGACAGGAGCTGTGGTCAGGATGGCCCCACGCCCCCACCACCCTCCCCACCCCAGAGCTGCCGCCGCCACATCCTCAGCCTGGCCCCCACCCAGGGGCATGGGCCCTACAGGGACCCTGGCCCAATCTGATCCTCACTCCAGGGCCTGCAGGAGAGCGTGGGGAGATGGGGGTGGCTTCAGGGCTCTGCAGGGCAGGGCAGGGCCACACGGCTGTTCTCCCTACCAGCCCTGCCCCTCCTCATTCCAGGATCCTGTCCTCTGCTCAGACATCATCCAGGCTGCCTCTGTCAAAATGCCGCCTCCCAATCCAGTCCACCTGGCCACTGCCTGAAGGTCCTCTGTGTGGTGGACACACAGGTGTCATGCCTGAGTGTGCACCTATGAGTGTGTGTGCATGTATGCCATGTGTGCACGTGCACATGAGTGGGGTGTGTTGTGCTGTGTGTGCACACATTGCATGCATGTGTGTGTGCATATGTGTGTGCATGTGTGCATGAAGGTGTGAACATACGTAATTTGCTGTGTGCATGGTTTGCACACGTGCTGTGTGCATGTGTGAACATACACATATGATGCGTGTGCACCTGTAAAACCACGTGTGTGCACATGTGTGGTGTTGGTGAGTTTGTGTATGGACTTTGGCAGGGGTCCTTCCTGTGCTGGGTGGCTGCCTGTCTTCCAGCCAACAGGTTGGAATGGACCTTGGCCCCCTTAGCCCAGATGCCCTATATGTCAAGGGAGCCCAAGGCAGGGTGGGGGCTGGGGCCATCACTGGCTGCCATGAAGCCCTGGGGTCCTCGTTACAGACACTGGCACTGGGTTGAAGCTTCAACCCGGTGCGTCCTGCAAGGGGAGGTCCAGCCCCCTGGCCTTGCCAGTGCTGAGGTTCTTGTGGAGAGGAAGTGGGTGCCCGTCCTGGGGTACCCCTAGTTCGGCTAGACACCAAGCCCGCCTTGTGGGGCCCCACTCCCGGGCCCCTGGGGACCCCACCCAGTGACCTCCTCTTGCCAGGTGCCCCCAAACCTCCTGCCTTACTTGAAGTCCCCGTCGTGGTATTTGCCGAATGCCTGGAGGATGATGGTGGTGATGGCCATGACGGGCTTCACTAGGCAGAACTGCAGAGTGGCCTAGGGAGGGCATCTGGTTGGTATGGGGCAGGGTCCCCCCGGAACCCAGGAATGGGGGATGGGGCAGCCAGCAGTCAGCAGCCCCTCGACACTGGGTGGGGTGGCACTGGGTTGGCCAAGTCCAGAAGGGCTAGGGTGGGAGGAGGGGGTGCAGGGCCAGGTGGGAGGGGGAGCAGGGCCAGGTGGTGGGGGCAGGGCTGGGTGGGAGGAGGGTGGGCAGGGCCAGTTGGAAGGAGGGGGGGCAGGGCCGGGTGGGCCCCCTCACCTGCTTGCAGAAGCGCAGGAACCCGATGGAGTAGGTCATGCCCCGGAGGCAGCAGGTGCCGTAGAAGCAGCTGGACCTGTGGGGGGATGTCCCTGAGCTGGCGCGGAAGAAGAGCCCCAGCGCTGCCCGGGCTCCCTGTTCTGGGTGTGTGTGGTGTGGGGGTCTGGGGTGAGGGGCTTACTTGATGGGCTTTCCACGGATCTCGGCCATGATGGCACTCTCTCCTCCCAGGTACTGGAAACACAGGCTCAGGAAGCTGTAAATGGCAAAGGCTGCAGGGAGCACAGAGGGGGACTGGTCATGAGCCCTGAGCTGCACGGGGACCCCATGGCACCCATCACACCGGGACACGAGGATGCTCAGGAGGGGCGGGGACTGGCAGGCCACACAGAGGCTCCCTGAAGGGCCCCATCTCCAGCAGGACACCCGAGAGGGTCAGGGTGCTCCGTTAGGGCCCCTCCAGGCCAGGGCAGGTCCACTGAGCCCCTCTCCCGGAGGCTGTGGGGTCGTGTGTTCCAGGCCTGCCAGTGCCGCTAACCCTGACCGTTGTAGCAGCCCCTCCGACAGGGACCAGGAGAGTGGGGTGCTCCTGGGGGCTGGCCCTGGGGAGTCTCTCCCTCCGCTCTCCCCAGCCCGACACAGCCCAGGGCTCACCTTCATAGCAGTCTCGCACAGAGTCAAAGTAGACGTAGTACTGGTGGTCTCCCAGGAGGAGGAGGCTGAGCCAGGAGTCGAAGGCATAGATGGGCACAATGAGGAGCAGGCGGATGACATAGCGCTGCTCCTGCGGCACGGTGTAGGAGCGCAGGTGCAGGTAGATCTGGGCACAGCAGGAGGGTTTGGGTGAGAGCCAGGTCTACCCGGCATCCCTGCACCAGCCCAGGAAGGAGGTGTGGGTGGGTGCAGGAGAGTTTGGGTGACAGGCCCACCTGGTAACCCCACACCAGCCCAGGTGAGCCAGGAAGGAGGTGGGGATGGGTGGGCACAGGCCACCAGGCACCTTTTATGTTCCTGCATTTTCTAGTTTTCTACAATGGGCATGCTTTTTACTATTAGAGAAAATTTTTTCCTATTGTAATCAGATACATATTTTTATACGTATTTACTATAGAAGTACATATAAGTATCAATGTAAAAGTATATATTAAATACATATTTCTGGTTACAACTAAAAATAATACACAATTGAAAAATTTACTTTTTATGGTTGGGCGTCCTGGTTCACACCTGTAATCCCAGCACTTTGGGAGGCTGAGGCGGGTGGATCATTTGAGGTCAGGAGTTCAAGACCAGCCTGGCCAACATGGTCAAACACCGTCTCTACTAAAAATACAAAAATTAGCTAGGAGTGGCGGTGCATCCCTGTAATACCAGCTACTTGAGAGGCTGAGGCGGGAGAATCGCTTGAACCTGGGAGGCAGAGGTTGCAGTGAGCCGAGATTGTGCCACTGCACTCCAGTGTGGTGACAGAGCGAGACTCTGTTTCAAAAAACAAAACAAAACAAAAACAAAAAACCATGTTTCTCAAAAATCTTTTTATTTTAATTACTGTTTTGAGACAGGGTCTCACTCTGTTGCCCAGACTGGAGTGCAGTGGGGCAATCTTGGCTCACCACAACCTCCGCCTCCAGGGTTCAAGCGATTCTCCTGCCTCAGCCTCTCGGGTAGCTGGGGTTACAGGGATGCGCCACCATGCCCCGCTAAATTTTGTATTTTTAGTTGAGACAGGGTTTCACTAAGTTGGTCAGGCTGGTTTTGAACTCCTGAACTCATGATCCGCCCACCTCAGCCTCCCAAAGTGCTGGGATTACAGGAGTGAACCACCTCGCCTAGCTAAAATTTATTTTTTAAACTGGCAAATCAAATTGTATGCACTTACAGTGTGCAGTGTGATGTCTGGTATGTGTGTTCCTGGGAAAGTGCTGAGTCAAGCCCAGTCACATCTCCATTATCTCCCATACTTAGCATTTCTTTGCAGGGAGGACACGGAAAATGTCCACTCTTAGCCATTTTCAAGCATAGAACACGTTGTTGTTTATAATAGTCACGGCATTGTACAACAGATCCTTCTTTTTCTGAATAACCTCCTTGGTCTTGAGTGAGGGTCCTGTTTGTTCCTAGGCTGGCCACAGGAACACTCACTCATTGCTTCATTCAGCAGGAGTTTCCAGAGCCCAGTCCAGCTAAGTGTCCGACCCGGGGGACAGAGGGGACATGTCCTGGCCTCGGGCTGGGCAGACTCTCAGAAGGTAGATTGGCTTTTGCTGTGGAGGCATCCAAAGGACTTGTTCACACACTCCTCCACTGGTACCTGGGAGGGGCGGCATGACCAGCCAGCAGGAGACCTCTCTCGGGGCTGGCGCTGCCTGGCTGGGTGACCTTGACCAGCTGCTGCCCTCTCTGGCCTCGGTCCTCCCAGGTATAAAGTGAGGGGGTCTAGCCACTCCCAGTCCTGCCTGAGACTCCTCACTCAAGGGTGGTCTGGCGGTGGGCTCAGGGGTGGGACAGGGCCTGAACTCCAGCCCGGGGGGTCTTCACAAGCCCTTTGATTCCTAAGAATTTGTCCCTGGCCAGGCGCTGTGGCTCATGCTTGTAATCCCAGCACTTTGGGAGGCTGAGGTGGGCAGATCACCTGAGATTGGGAGTTCCAGGCCAGCCCTATCAATGTGGAAAAACCCCGTATCTACTAAAAACACAAAATTAGCCTGGTGTGGTGGCACATGCATGTGATCCCAGCTACTCGGGAGGCTGAGGCAGGAGAATTGCTTGAACCTGGGAGGCGGAGTTTGCGGTGAGCCGAGATCTCGCCATTGCACTCCAGCCTGGGCAACAAGAGTGAAATTCCATCTCAAAAAAAAAAAAAAAAAAAAAAAAAAAAAAAAGAATTTGTCCCTAGGGGCTGGGCACATGGCTCATACCTGTAATCCTAGCAGTTTGGGAGGCCGAGGTGGGTGGATTGCCTGAGCTCAGGAGCTCGAGACCAGCCTGGCCAACGGGGAGAACCCCATCTCTACTAAAAAATTAAAAAAATTAGCCAGGCGTGGTGGCACGCCCCTGTAATCCCAGGTGCTCAGGAGGCTGAGGCATAAGAATTGCTTGAACCCCAGAAGTGGAGGTTTCGGTGAGCCGAGATCATGCCACTGGACTCCAGCCTGGGTGACAGAGTCAGACTCTGTGTCAACAACAAAACAAAACAAAACATAAAAAGAATTTTATTGTTCCCTAGCAACAAATATATTCAGAAACAAAGAAGGAGGTTTCTGTACGAAGACACAGGCATGTCCCACATGGTGGGACAAGCTGGTCACATCATGGTGCAACAGTGCAAAGAGCTGCTGTACCACCAGTGAAAACCATGCTAAAAAATACACCTACAGAGGCTCACGCCTGTAACCCCAGCACTTTGGGAGGCCAGTGCGGGCAGATCACTTGAGGCCAGGTGTTCAAGACCAGGCTGGACAACATGGTGAAACCCCATCTCTACTAAAAGTACAAAATTTTGCCTGGTATGGTGGTGTGTGCCTGTAATCCCAGCTACTGGGGAGGGTGAGGCAGGAGAATCCCTTGAATCTGAGAGGCGGAGGCTGCGGTGAGCCAAGATCACACCACTACACTCCAGCCTGGGCGACAGTGAGACTCTGTCTCAAAAAAAAAAAAAAAAATACACTTATAGCTGGGGCAACATAGTGAGCCCTTGTCTCTAGAAAAAATTAAAAAATTAGCCAGGTGCAGTGGCTCACACCAGTAATCCCAGCAGTTTGCGAGGCCGAGGTGGGAGGACTGCTTGACTCCAGGAGTTTGAGATCAGCTTGGGCCACACAGTGAGATGCTGTTTCTACAAAACATCAAGTAATAAAAACTAGCCAGGTGTGGTGGTGAGCATCTGTAGTCCCAGCTACTTGAGAGGCTGAGGTGGGAGGATCGCTTGAGCCCAGGAGCTCTGGGCTGTAGTGCGCTATGCCGATCGGGTGTCTGCACTAAGTTCGGCACCAATATGGTGACCGCCCAGGAGCGGGGGACCACCAGGTTGCCTAAGGAGGGGTGAACCGGCCCAGGTTGGAAACAGAGCAGGTCAAAACTCCCGTGCTGATTAGTAGTGGGATCGCGCCTGTGAATAGCCACTGCACTCCAGCCTGGGCAACATAGCGAGACCCCATCTCTTTAAAAAAATAATAAAATTTTTTAAAGTTAAATAAATGTAAAAACATTAAAAAAGAAAAAAAAATACACCTGTGTAAGGAAATGCTCTGATACAATGCAGCATTTAAAAATTAAGATGATAAAGTAGGATCTCAAATTATGTTAAAAATGCCTGGTAGGCTGGGAATGGTGGCTCACACCTGTAATCCCAGCACTTTGGTAGACTGAGGCAGGAGGATTGCTTGAGCCCAGGAGTTTGAGACCAGCCTGGGCAACATAAGGAGACCTTGTCTCTACAAAAATAAATAAATAAATAAATAAATACAAATTTAAAAAAATACAAAAAGTAACCGGGCATGGTGGTATGTGCCTGTAGTCCCAGCTACTCGGGAGGCTGAGGTGGGAGGATGGCTTGAACCCGGGAGGTGGAGGCTGCAGCGAGAAATGATTGTGCCACTGTACTCCAGCATGGGCGACTGAGTGAGACCTTGCCTTAAAAAAAAAAAAAATCCTGGGAAAAAAATATGGGTGATTGTAGTGTTTGCCTTTAAACCTTTCTGGACTTTCCATGTTTTTTTTTTTTTTAATTGAGAAAGAGCCTTGCTCTGTTTCCCCTGCTGGAGTACAGTGGCACAATTTCAGCTCACTGCAACCTCTGTCTCTCAAGTTCTAGTGATTCTCCTGCCTCAGCCTCCCGAGTAGCTGGGATTACAGGCCTGTGCCACCACATTCAGCCAATTTTGTATTTTTAAGGGGTTTCCCCATGTTGGCCAGGCTGGTCTTGAACTCCTGACCTCAGGTGATCCGCCCGCCTCAGCCTCCCACAGTGCTAGGATTACAGGCGTGAGCCACCTCGCCCGGCCGATTTTCCATGTTTTCTGTGAGGACACGACAGAATCACAGGGTCTTTGAGAGGCAGCCAAGCCTGGGAGCTGGGCGCACGGGAGCTCATGGGGAAGGCTTCCTGGAGGAGGTGCCATGAGTGGCAGCAGCAGGCGAGCAGAGGCTATGTGCACCTGGCTGCTTGGGGTGCAGCTCAGGAAGTTGGGGGAGGCTGGCGGCAGGAACAGACTCTTATCAGTCACACACTCCCCCACTGGTGCCTGGGAGGGACGGCATGACCAGCCAGCAGGAGACCTCTCTCGGGGCTGGCACTGCATGGTTGGGCGACCTTAACCAGCTGCTGCCCTCTCTGGCCTCGGTCCTCGCAGGTAAAAAGTGAGGGGGTCCAGCCACTCCTGTCCTGCCTGAGACTCCTGGGACAGGGCCTGAACTCGAGCCCGAGGGGCCTTCACAAGCCCTGTCTTGACTGCAAGCCCCCAAGATGCTGAAGCCAGGCTATAGCTACACATACACAGCCAGTTCCCAAAATTACAATGCAAAGACGGCCTCCTCCAGGAAGCCTCCCCTGATGGTCTTACAGGAAGGGCCTGCCTCCATACCACCTCCCTGGCTCTGCACACTCCAGGCCCACGCTTATACAAATCTACCTTGGGTTCTGGTTATCTAGTCACAGCTCACTGCAGCCTCGAACTCCCGGGCTCAATCAATCCTCCCACCTCAGCCTCCTGAGTAGCTGGGATGACTGATGCGGGCCCCCACGACCAGCTAATAAACAGCTCATAAGTCGTCACTAAGATGCTGCCTTGGAGGCTCGTGCCCATGTCCCTGCCAGCCAGTTTCCTGGTAGGCCGGGTGCAATGGCTCCCGCCTGTAATCCCACCACTTTGGTAGACCGAGGCACGAGGATGGATTGAGCCCAGGAGTCTCCTGATGGCCCCCTGCCCGGCTCATCTATGGATCCATTCCCTATGCCAGTGCCCCTGGCACCCAGGGAGCAGCTCTGCTCTCAGCCAAGATCTCTGCAGCCTTCCTGGGTTCCCAGTGCCTCCCGAAAGCCGCCTCCCCACAGTGGGGTAAAGTGCTCTGGACAAGGCCCTGCCCCCGCCCCCCACACTGCCCCGGCCTCTCTGCATATCTGAGGCTCTCAGGCTGGTACCATCCCTGACTCCCTGCCCTCTCTGCCCAGCCCCTGCCCTTGGCAATCGCTTCCTCCTTGCCTCTGTCTGGCCCTTCCTTGCCACAGTGCCTGGCCGCTTTTCTACCTGGGGACTGCTTCAGGTTGGGGGCTGTGTGTAGCTGAGGGCTTGGGGAAGTTGCTTCTCGCCCATCTCTTGCACAGGAGTCCCGGTCCCTCTAGCCAAGCTGCAACCTTTGCTCCCCAGCTCCCTATGGAGCAAAGTTCAACCCCCCGCCAACCCCCTCGCCAGCCTTCTCCAGGGTGCCACACCTCTGGAGGGAGAAGGCCCTTTCCCCTTTCCAGATACATGAGCCTGGGAAAGACCTCTGGTCTCTCTGAGACTCAGTCTTCTTGTCTGTGAAATGGGACCACACTGCTGACCTCAGTGAGCTAGGTGAGGAGCCTGAGAAATAGCTGGGGTTGCCTGGTGGGCACTCTGTACTCAGCCTGGCAGACTTCCCCATTTTCAGGCCCAGCTCCCACATGCCATGTCTTGGGGAACGCCCATCCCCTCCCCCTGTGCCCTGGCCCGATGCCACTTCTGACAGCCTCTGTAGCAGCAGCACCCAGGGGGGCCCAGTTGAGCCACAGCCACATCCCTTAGCGACCGGGGTCCTGAAGGAGGCTGGGGGCGGGAGGGCTTACCTGGTGGCTGGTGAGGACCAGGGCAGTCCACACGAAGATGCCTGAGACTCCTCGGGCCAGCGCGGAGCCATTCCCCATGCGGTCCATCTGCAGCCCAGCTGGCACGGACGGCGGGGGGCTGGGTTGTGGCCAGGTCACTGACACCAGGGGGACGCCAGCTGTCCCCAGGATCACTGAGACATTACTCATCTGCAGAGGGAGGGAGGACACAGACCCAGAGTGAGGGCAAAGGTGCTGGTGTCCGGCAGCAGGAAGCAGCTGGGGAGGGAGGGGACAGTGAGATGGGCGCCGAGGCTGAGCCACCCACCAGGCCGTGCCCCCACATGCATGGACAAGGCCCAGGTCCCTCCCTGCCCCGAGCTCAGGCACCCAGGCTTACCCATCAGCCACCTGCAACCTGGGGGCCCTACTTAGATTCCCCCTTGTAAAACCAGCTTCCACCTTGGAGTCGCAGGCTTGCAGGGAGCCTGCTTCTGAGGGGACAAAGACTGTCTTCCAGTGGGGCAGAGGAGGGGGAACCCCTGCCATCCTGCCTGCCTGGGAGCTCTGGGGAGCAGGCACAGGCCAGCACTACCTGCCCCAGCAGGAGGGAGTGTGCAGCCACTCATGGAGGAGGGGCCCTCACTGGCTCCCCAGGACCTGCCCTCCCACCTGGGAGCCCAGCTTTGCTAGCGTTCTTGGCAGACCTAGGCACCTGCTATTCCCACTAACCTGCTGGGGGCCTGGGTCCGCCCGCTCCCACACTTGCAGTCCAGCCTCCTCCTCTCCCTCTGGCCTGCAGTCATAGGACCCAGCTCTACCTCCGCTGGCAGGAAGCACCTGGCCCAGTCCGGGGAGGCCCAGCCTCCAGGGAAGCCTGGCTGGCCATTCTCGTGGCCACGTGGCCTTCACTGGCAGTCCCATAGTGGGCGGGGCAAGGCTGGGATCTGAAGGGCTGTGCCAGGCCAGGATGGGGCGGGGCGGCCAGCACCTTATGTCCCCAGTGGCCCACCTGAGCCCCAGGCTGCAGGCCCATCCCCTCCCATGGCTGACATTCTATCCTCCTGGCTGTTTGCTGGGTGGCAGCTGGCTCTCAGGAACCTGCTGGCTGCCAGGTGCCCTCACCTGCCTATGTCAGACGGCCAGGCAGCTGCCACCCAGCAGGAACAGGTGGGAGAGGTCTGCGGTGGGCCGAGGAGGGCCAGGCTGTGGGAGGAAGGCTGGGCAGCTAATGGTACAGGGATTCTCTGGGGCATGTGACAGGAGTCCTGAAATGAGGTAGAAGCAGGCACACAGCACTGCAGAGGTATTCACTGCCAATGAGTTGTTCACTTAAACATTGATGTTATGTGAATTTCACCTGAATAAAAAAAAAATCCATGCCCCAAGAGGTGTGTTGAAACATTTGTTTTCTGTGCAGAATGTGGTGGCTCACGCCTGTCATCCCAGCACTTGGGGAGGCCGAGGCAGGCGGATCACTTGACGTCAGGAGTTCGAGACCAGCCTGGTCAATGTGGTGAAACCCCATCTCTACTAAAAATATAAAAATTAGCCAGGTTGGTGGCACACACCTATAATCCCAGCTACTCAAGAGGCTGAGGCAGGAGAATCGCTTAAACTAAGGAGGCACAGGTTGCAGTGAGCTGAGATTGAGCCACTGCACTCCAGCCTAGGCGACCGAGGGAGACTCTGTCTCAAAAAAAAAAAAAAAAAAGTAAAAGAAATGAAATATTTCTGGGTTTTGTGGGTCAAGGCAGGAGGCAGGGAGTGACAGCCAGGTCCCTGGACTCTTTGAGGTCTGGCAAGGTGTTGGGGGGCCCTGAGGGTCCCTGTCACCCCGTGCAGAGACCCCTGTGGAAAACTCACCCACCCCGGCTCCTGGGAGTGGGACATGGGCCCTCAGCCCACCTCTTGGCCTGTTCTGGTTACGCTTGGGCTCATGCCGCGGGGGCCACCATTACCAAGTCCCACTCCGTGCCTGCAGCAGGTCCACACACTCCTTGTCCTTCATGCTTCCGACCCTCCCACAGCCCTGGGCAATGGGGGTCGAGGCTGCAATGACTGGAGCCACTGTTCCTCTTTTATTTTTATTTATTTTTTGAGATGGAGTCTCGCTCTGTCACCGGGCAGTGGCACAATCTCGGCTCACTACAATCTCCGCCTCCTGGGCTCAAGTGATTCTCCTGCCTCAGCCTCCCGAGTAGCTGGGACTACATGCAGCCACCACCACACCTGGCTAACTTTTGAATTTTTAATAGAGATGGAGTTTCACCATGTTGGCCAGGGTGGTCTCGAACTACCGACCTCAGGTGATCCACCTGCTATGGCCTCCCAAAGTGCTGGGATTATAGGCGTGAGCCACTGTCCCTGGCCTGTTTCCCTTTTAGAGATGGGAACAAGGGGCACATCACTGTATCCAACATCCTCCAGGGATCCACAAGGGGCCCAGGCTGAGGCCCATCAGTACCTGGGACACCCTGGCCGCTCTCCCCAACCCCTCCACCCACACTGTCCTTCCAGGGAGCCTCCCAGGTGGGGGACAAGCTCAGGAAGTCGTGCCTAGCTCTCAGGCCTGCCTTGCTGGACCTCCCCATCAGCGCCCGCCCGGCCCAAAGCCACCAAGCGCACACCCTGGCTCAGCCCTCCCAGGGCGTGCCTGCTCCCCAGGCCAGGACCTTCTGGAGCAGGCAAACCTGCTCCTGGGTGACTCTGTCCTGTAGCCTCAGGCGTCACCTTTAGAGAAAGTCCCAGCTGTCCCAGCACCCTCCTCACTCGTGTGCTATCCCTGTGCACCTGTCTGTGTTTGCTGCTGGCCCCCTCTTGGTGGGAGCTACCAGAGCCTGGAGCCATGCCCTGTCCATGCTTGGGACATGGGGGTAGGGGGTGTCTGTCCTGCTGACGCGGTGGTCCTGTGGGCTAAGGTCTCCCTTTGGCCAGGCAGGGGTGCTGGAAGGCGGTCACCAACTTCCATTTGGCTGCATTCCAGCTGCAGCTGCAGGTACTCTCCCCCTGCCCCCCTACCTTCCCTGCAGAGTCCTAGGCAGACGGCTCAGCTCGTGCAGATGTCGCCCTCTGGCTGTGGGTGTTGGGATCACCATCACAGACAATTACGAAGTGATGTTGGCTGGGGGCTTTGAAGGGTGAAAACTTTGTTGCCTGGGTGTGCACAGCGCTGGAAGGGACCAGGATTCACCTCATCCAGGTGGCTCATGCTACAGGCAGGGAAACTAAGGCCATAGTCCCTGCTTGATTTGCTTCCAGCCCCGAGCACAGGATGAAGCTTCAGGCCCCTCCCTTGGCTGGCGGTGGGAATGGCTGAGTGGATGGCAGGAAGCACTGTGGTTAGATGTCAGCAGGACATCTCTGGATGTCCTGGAGCCCCCAGGGCCAGGACACAGCTGGAGCCCCCAGGGCCAGGCTTCCAGAAGGGCTCCAGCTTCGGGGAGGCTCAGGGTCTGGGCCCCGGACACAGATTGAGGGAAGTCCAAAGCTCTGCCTTCCTCCAGAGGCAGATCCTCGGTGGGAAGAGGTGGGGCATTCTCACAAGGCCAGGGAGGCCTGCTGATCTCCTCAGCCCACAGCTGTGCCAGTGGGGAGTATGGGTGAAGGGTCTTTGGTGTCAGCCTGAGCTGGTTCATGGCCCCTGAGGGTCCCTGACCCTTAGAAGCCCTCTTCAGTCAGGGATGCCTCCTGCCCTGATGGTGGAAGGCAGGTCCAGCATTGCCTCTGGGTTTTTCTCATAGCCATCCTACTCTGGCATGTTCTTGTTCAGCTAGTGCCTTTAGGAAACTGTCCCAAAAGCCTGGGCTCTGGCCCCTAAGCCCAGAACTCCAGGTCCTCTTGCACATTTGAGGTAATGACTTTGCCTCATCAGGCAGCTTTGGCTGTATCCCTTCTCCCCAGCACTGGGCCTTGAAGGCCTTTTATAAACGCAAGGCTCTGAAAAGAGAGGAGGCCTCTGCCATCTCCACCCAGCCTTCCTTCACAGCTTTCTGAGCATGCCACTCTCAGAAGCAGCCTCAGCCCTTGGCCCTTTGTCTTGCCCATGGCCTTGGCAACCTTGGCAGGCGCCTTTGCCTCTCTGGGCCTGTTTTCTCATCTGTAAAGTGGATTTGCTCCAAGTCCTGGCCAAAGCAGGATTTGATCACTGCTGGCCTGCCTGTCCATCTTCTGGGCCACTCTCCCCACCTGGCCTGCCTCTGGCCCCGCCCCGGCTATCCCACCCCAGCTCTGTCTCCAACATCTGCCCACCCTCCCCACCCAGCCTGCCTTTGTCCCCACCCCTGCTGTCTCTCCCACCTGGCTCTGTCTCCATCACATCTGCCTCTTTTGTCCCCACATCCAGGCAGACCCAGGGACTACCAGGGTTTCTACCAAATCCCTACCCACCGTGCCCGATCATTCAGCAAAGTGAACACTCAGGGCTCTTGGGTGTGAACTCCAGCCCAGCCATTCCCCCGTGTGCACACCTTAGCCTCCATGTCCCTACCTGGAACATGGGAGCAGAGATGCCTGCCCTGAGAGGGTGCTGAGTGGATGCAGTGAGACCCATGACTTGTGCACACCATGCTGAATGGCCACTGGCTTCCCTCTCTCCCCTACCCAGTGACCACCTGCCCGGCCATGTGAGTCCTCCCATTCCTGAAACGCCCTCACCTCTCTGGCTCTCAGCTGGTTCTGGCCCTGCCAGTGTCTGTGAGCAGCTCCAGGGTCTCCCCAGTGGGTTCCAAGGCTCTCAGAGCCCTGCACTGCAGCCCTCACCTCCGTCACCTGCCCTGCCCAGGCCCGGCCCATTCTGGGCACGCTGAGGTACACCCTGGGTGGGAAAGGATCTGATGGAGCAGCCAGTCCCCTCCCTCCTCCCCAGGGAGGATCCTGGCTCCAAGTCCCACAGGGAGTTTTTGGGGGGCCTGGTCCCCAGGGTGGGGCAGTTGGGAGGTTGACCACTCTGTCACCTGCTCCTGGGGCTCAAAGGCTGATCGAGGCCACATCCGGTGCTGGTGTCACAGCCTGCGCCCAGTCACAAGAGGTGGCAGAGTTGGCTGGGCCTGATTTTCTTGGCGGGGGCTGGACGCTGACCAAGCCCATCGCAGGACAGACCTGCCTGCCCAGATCTGGGCGTCAGGGCCCTCTGACCCCTGTTCACTGTGTCCAGGTGCCTGGAGCTGAGAAGCCGCCCAGCCAGTCCCACATCCTGGTCCTGGCACAGCTGCCTCCTGTCCTCGTGAGAAGCCTGGCTTCAGGCCCATGCACTGCTGCCCAGTTCCAGGCTGGCTGCCCTGCTGGTGCCCACCCCGACCCCCTGCCCACCCACCTCTCTGCAGACCCAGGGTGTGCTGTACCCCCTGCCTCCTTTGCTGCTGGGTGGAATTTGGGGCACCCGGGAGTCATGTCCTCAGAATTAGCTCATTTAGTGTCCCAGGCCAAGCTACACCCCAGGGGGATGAGGTGACCAGTGGGCACACATCCCTGACACCCAACTTCCCAGGCCCACCCCACCCCATCCTCCCCTGGGGGCCCTGGCCAGCAATTCACCAAGGCAGCAGCCCTGGGGTGAGAGCAGGGGGTGACAGGGACAGGTCTCCCTGTTGGCCAGGCCCTGGTGCTCAGGCCATGGAGTCACATAGAGGGGCCGCTCTTCCCTCCAGCATGATCCTGGAAGGCCTGGAGGAGTCCAGCCCAGCCACCCACCATGCCGGGGACCTGGGTGCCATGTCCACCTCCTCCTTTGGTTCTGGGATTCCCCTGGCTCCTGTCCATGAGCATGCCCTCCGGAGAGCCGAGTGGGGCGGGCAGAGAGTGTGGCCTCCTGGGGGTCCACATACCCCTTCTCACTAGGGCTGGGGAATGGCTCCTACAGCTGCGGGGAG